AGACCCTTCTCGACCCGAAACGTCAGCTTTCCTGCTCCTCTGATGCTGCTTGGCCTGCTGTGTTCATCCAGCTCTACACCGTGTTATCTCAGATTCTCCAGCATCGGCAGTTCCTACTATCTCTGCTTTGTATTTGAGTTGACACTGCAAATGAAGAATAACTCAGTTATTGAATAAAGTCTGCTGTCCTGTTAAAATATCATCTTAGATTTAAATATTTATACATCACAGGGTTAATTGAAATGCAATGAAGTGTAAAAGTGTTTTTTTGATGCAACACTGCTAAAAGAAATTGTCTGGTCATAATCACATTACTGATTTATGGGACCTTGTTGTGCAAATTGGCTGTTGCATTTCACACATTACAGCACAGTTAAAAAGTAATCATTGGCTAAAATGCTTTGGGATTTCCTGAGGTCACGAATGATGCTGTATAAAAGTACAAGTTTTTTATTCTTTACCTGGAATAAAAATGATTTTTATTAGCTTCTCGTTGCTTGAGGGACTGAACAACACATTTTGTGGTTCAGCACTACACAACAGTTGTACCTCAAGAGATGAAACATGTTACTTTTAGATATAAATTGAAGTTGTTGTGAGGATGTCTTGGAGCTGAAAAGAATCATAACCTGCTGGTTACTAATTCTTTCATACACCTCAATGTGTTCGATGTCTTAAAGTCTGTTTGCAGATGGGCAGCTCATGTTCAACCTACATCTTCGTTATTTGAGAAGCAGATAGCAAGCAGTGTACACATTGCACAGCACGAGTATGCAGAGGTCAGCCCACAGTGCAAGAGGAAACTGGAAGGATAACACAGCTGAGGCACGTGTCAGATTGAAATTCAATTACATAGTGAAACTGGAGCATGTGTGGGAGAAAACAGAATTTCCACAGAGATAGTTGCATGTGATGATACAACAGGCACTCTGGAATGTGATCCATCAATCTTTGAGAAATCCTCCAGATGTCATGAAAAAAGCATATCTTCATTTATTCAACTCTATAATTGTGCTATATTGGTAAATGAAAGCTAAACTTTATATTGAAGACCACATTTAACTGCAATTGTGAGCCTCCAAACAAGTGCATACTTGCCTGTGAACAAGTTACAAGTTGTTTAAAACATTGTAAAACAACTAACATAATTGCTATCATTGACTTTTTCTGTTGTGAGAATAACAAGATTAATATTTGGAGCCCCACAAGATCATAAGTCTGATGAAAGGTCTAGGCCCGAAACGTCAGCCTTTCTGCTCCTATGATGCTGCTTGGCCTGCTGTGTTCATCCAGTTCTGCACCTCGTTGTCCCAAGATCATAAGTCACTCTTGTCTTGAACTTTTTCACCAAGATCGTCCAAACGCTTTTCAGAATACATCAAATGGATGTGAAAGCTTAAATTTTTTTAATGGAAAGATTAGCATAGGGGAATTTAGTTGCATTGTTTGACTGTTCATTGATGTTCTTGATTTAGAAGAATATTGTTCAGACTTTGTTCTCTTCTACTACACTCATTTTGTTTGCCTTATGGTATTCTTGGTTCATTAAATTTGTTGCTGAATCTTTGTTGTTGTAAAAGTAGTTGGTGTACTACTAAAACTCCAAGTTGCTTTTTGAAATGTGGTCTTCAATGTAAAGTTTGGCTTCCCTTTACCAATAAGGCACAATTATAGAGTTGAATAAATGAAGATATTTTTTCATAACAACTGAAAGATTTCTCAAAGTTCAATGGATAGAAACATTCCCAAAATGGGTTCACTAAATAAGCTTCAATGATCTTTTTACACCTATCAAAGATGGCTGCCACAGTCAAATAATTTTTGAACTTTATCAATTTTTGCTGTAGTGACATTATTCATACTGCGATTTTTTTCTGAACCTGAATTGCACTAAATTTGACACCACTTGTTCAGATTCACAATGTACTTTAATTAATAGAGTTTAATTAATAGAATTTAATTAAGACAGAGTACTTGAATTAATAAAATTGATAAAATTTCTTAACTGCTGAGCAAAACTTTGAATTTGTCTTTCAAACCATTTAAATTTATAAAAAAAGACTTCTTTCATTACTTTGGTACTGTTGAGAATTTGAATTGCAATACCAATTTTTACTCCTCATTTTTTTTCTCTTTTACAATCTTTTTGCTTTTAGTCTGTACCTGAAGAGTTATCTTAACTTGCTGCTGTTAACTTTCTCAGTGAGTAAATGGTTCAGGAATTTGTTAACTCGCTGTTAGAAGTTTTATCTATGCTTCTCAGCCTAGTTTTTCAGTTGAAAATGAAACTCTGCTGTCCCTTTCCTTAAGGGTGTTCAAATATAAGCTCCTTTTTGCAGGTGCTCAATTCTGATTTATCCTCTGAGTGGTTACTGGTATTTTATAGCTTTCACTTATTTTTAAAGGCTCACTTCCCCTGTTACTGTCTACGAAAGGTTTTTGAAGACTTATATCATTCAGTGATGTTTCTTTCACTGCAGCTGTGCAGTGCTGTGGCATTTCTGGCTGCGAGCTGGTCTGAGAGCTGTCTCAATGATTTTTTTCCAAATTTTTAAAAAAATTCTTCTGTTCTCCAGACGATCTCAGGTTTGTTTCTTGATCTTTTCTACTGGCATGATTTTCTAGCCATTGCTGCCACCATCTGTTTCTCGTGTGGTTCAATGTTGCACACTATGAGTTGGTTTCAGGACAGACTGATGAAGAAGCAGACAAATTCAAGAACTGTCTTCAGGCTTAGACTTTAAAGTAACACTACTTATTTTACAGCAACATTAAACACAGCTATACATAGAAATTATAGATGAACCATTCACGGATTTTATAGTTTTGTCAGATAAAGACAAAAACAGAAAATTCTAGCAGGAGCTCAGCAGGTTTGGCAGCATCTGTGAAGAGGAAACAAGAGTTAATGCTTCGAGTCCAGTAACCCCTCATCAGAATGTTCTGTTTGTATGCATTGAAGCATTTCTGAAATCTCTTTGGATGTCAGTAAAGTTACTAAAGTAACTTGTGGTCCATCTTGACCTGGAATTTCAGACCCACGAGGTAGCCCATTACCTTTCACATTCCCTTTGGTTGTGTACCTCTGCTCAATCTCCAAAGTCTTGACATAAAATTGACTAATTTTCATGTTCCATCATTTTGTCCTTGAATAAGCTCTGTTCCTAACCTTCTGGATGATGTATTTGTGGCTATTATGGTGAATATTTACATAAACTACTCATACCTACATCTTGGAGGATAATGTAAACAGAAGAAAGGTTGAAATTACCATATTCAGCATTCATTTTCCAACATTTCTATTTTAGTAACATTCGGAAGCTGATGCCATTTGTGGCCCATAGAACGTATACCATAGGTAGAATCTCCTGAGTCAGATATCTTAAAGTTAATTTAGAACACTAATATTCATAAGGCTACAATGTCATATAGACATAGTCTGTGTTCTATGCTTACTAATATTATTGTACATTACAAACACAAGATACAGTGCCTGTTGGTTGGGTCATATGCACTAATATAATACTAATTATTCCAGTATACAAGTATGTAGCATTAGTCGTAAACCAGTGATATCTTTAAAATAGTTCAGCAGGTAGTTAGAAGGAGACAGAGTTGATCTGTCTATTGCTGTTTATTTGTTGTAACATCAAATAAGAAACTTTGGGAATTTTGTGTGGTCTTTTAAAATACTGCATGTATACTCGGTTCAGCAACAACAGCCATTTACCATGTTCTTCAACAGCAAGCACCCAAGAAGTCAATGCCTCTGGAAAGCTGCCAGTTAAGCTAGATCTCAAATGAGCAAGTGAAATTTGGAAAAGAATATCTAGGTTGATATTCCTGCACCTTTTTCAAATTTCATCCATCCTATTTAATAACATCGCTAGAATGAATTCAAAATATAAGTTGGGATACTTTTCTATTTGTAGGAAAATGAAACATGAGCAGAAAAGAAAAAGGAGAAAAGGAAAAACAGGAAAGACTAAGATATAGAGGGTCTCTAAAACTTGAGTGTTCACATCAGTTTCCACAGAGGAGGTCTCATTCAAGCTCAGTCATTGTAAGTGGAAGTTAGAATTCATAACAGATGGAGAATGTATTATATGGAAACTGATGGATGGAGCAAGAAATTCAACTTCTAACATTTCACCTGTGAATATCATAGATTATGTCCTGACTCTGACAGTCTGCAGTTACAGATACCACATGATCACCATTAACTGCAAATGAGCATGGAATCCATTTTGCCCTCCCCCATCAGCCTTCCCACTCCAACAAATTGATGTTTTTTTCTTTCACCCACTCAGTTGCATTAAGAGCCTCATTTTTCTTCCAATTTGAATCAGATGTTGTGTGTATTTTCAATATTTTCTGTTTCATTTCAAATTTCTAACACTAGCAGTTTCGGTCTTTCCATTCCAGTTGTGTGACAATTTGTGGTCTGTTGTTTTACTTGACCACTTTCCAAACTGTTTTCCACAAGGAATTCTGTTGCTATCTGTAGTTTGTGGGGTGTTATTTACTACATTTGAGAAGCCTATTAACAGTTCTTCCAATTTTTTTAGGAAGGTTAGTTACAGCATGCTCTACTTAATTGCAGCACTGATTTCATTGCACTCTGAGCAATTAAAGTAAGATGGAAGTAACTTTGCTCAGGATTTCATCTGGTGAATTGAGCTCAGCAACAACAACCTGCATTAATATAATGCCTTTAACATAGTCAAAGGTCCAAAATATTTGAAATTTTAAGCACATACAGATTTTTATTTCTGATTATTCTATATTTCTTATCTATCTATGTGTAAATCACCTTCACAGACAGCCAAAATAAATTACGAAGTACATCTATGTGGTAAATTTGCAATTGTGTTCTATATCAGAGTGTTTCATGCAAATGTGTTTGATGCATACCATTTTATTATAGAACTGAGCATTGAGATCGCATCTGGAATTTTCAAACACCTGAGTGTCTGTATAGGTCCTTATAATGAGCTTGGGAAATCCCAGTTTTCTACTGTTTGTCAGAATCTTTTCTTAACTGGGAGCAATAATTCTAATAAGAAAAATATTTTCTATCCTAGTACACTGATGGAACAGCAATTTTCATTTCTGCATTACACTTATAGGCTGTTTGAAACTGCAAAATAATTTTTTGTTAAAATATATATTGTACCATGTGCATGCAGCTGGAAATTTCATCCTCCTCACCTTGAGTCAAAATGGAACTAAAATGAAATGGAAGGAAGCTCAGTTGCTGCAAGGGTACATTACACTTTAATAAGGTAAAGAGTGAGGAGAAAATGAACAACCTCAATTATATAACAATCAAGATACCAAATTTACACCAATGTAAGGAAAAGATTAGAATCTTACAGCATGTCTTACAATACAGTTCCAACAACAGAAGAAATTACCTCCACACAAAGGATGAATTGTAGATTGTGCAGAGAAGGAGATTATATTAACTCAACTTGCAGTATTTTTGCACAAACCTACATTTCAAAAAGTAGATACGGAAAAATGAAATTTTCAGTGAAAGTGGATTTTGCTTCCATTATTTACACTAATCTTTAAATATTTTGACGATATTTTTATATGTTGCTACTAATATCAGTTTAAACCCTGAGTTATTTGGACATATTTAATTTCAGGTCATAATATAAATCAATAAAATTATATATTAGGCTTAATAAGACTAATAACATTATCAGAAAACACTGGCCAATCTTGAGAAAGCTGTTTTTGAAGTTATTAGAATTGTTGATTGTATCATAATCACAGCCATACCTGGATAATACTGAAAACTTCAGACTTGGATATATCTTTAAAGACCAAATAAATAATTCTCCTTTCTCCTTTCCACCCCCTAAAAAGAACCTTCTCTGGCTTGAAGCTTAAGCAACAGCTGTTTGCACTGCTGCCCCCAATCTGATCCATGTTAATGTGGCAAATTTAAAATACAAAATGGCACAATTTCACTCGCTTTATCACACAATTGTTGTGGGCCATCGTTACAAGAACAAGAATTTCTACACTGGATTTAGAATTTGTCATGAAGTTTAGAAACTCCATTACTGTAATCTCTATATATTTTAATTTTTTTTAGGCGGCTATGTACTTCACTATTGCCAACTAGATCTTGGTTCATCCTTCAGCTAATTTAGGGAGGAACCAATTTTGTTGTGTGATTTATAAATAATGGATATCTCAATATGAAAAATAACACAAATAGGTGATTTTCATATGCATGTTTTAAAAGTTAATGGTGCGTTATAACCTTAAAACAACAGTGTGGATATAAAAACTAAGTATAGGCTTAATCCCAGAGCTACCATATAAAATATCTGGTTTGTTTTATAGACAATTTTCTTAACCAGAAACATCGATTATAGTTAATGACATCCATATGATAGATAGTTTCAGACTGGACTTGCATCGTTCATGGCTTAATCACTACTGCAGTAAACATTGCATAAAAATCAGTTGAATACCAGGTTCATAAAACAATGATCAGTGTGCTGACTTAAATCCTTAAGATGGTTGATTATTCAAAGTTGTTTAAAGAGCCAGAGAAATTTTAAAAGCCTAGTAAATGGAGGGATATTAAACTTTATTAAACACTGCTATTAAAATATCCCTGTCTTTTTATGCTTAGTCTTTGACAGACAAACCCAGACTGCCAATGTTGGCTGCAGTCTGCCAAATTGAAAAGTCTTGTTTATAAAAGAGCAGAGATCAAGACAAAGCCATTTGACCCATTAAACCGATTCATTTCGCAAGCCGTGTGTAATTCACTCTGTCATGGACTGTGCACAATCCCCTGAAACACCGATCAGCAAACATTTTCTCTGCTTCAAAAAAGTGTTTGCGTTAAAGTTGCAGAATTGTTGTCTAACCAGTGTCAGAAGGTCAGGGGTGTAGACTCCCCTTCAGCACTTTATATAGAATGTACTGTACAGCAAGGATCACTCAGACTAGCTAACCCATGCTGATTGCAGATGACACCGCAGTACATTTCTGGTCCCATCTCTTGGATGGGCACAAAACTGATTCTCCTTCAAACATCTCATGTGGAAGCCATTCCTCGGACGATCTGGTCAATATTTATCCTTCAAGTATTTGTCACTAACACAGATGACCTGTCATTTATTGAACACATTTCTAAGATCATACTGGATATAAATAATCTGTTGTTGTTCCCTGCATTACATCAGTGGCTATACCTTAAAAATTAATTCATAGTGTTGTTGACCAAGTGAGTAGGGGTGAAATCACTCTCCTATCTTCAACTACCCTGATTGGCCACAATAAAGATTTATCTTCCTTTAGCATGTGACTACACCTCCTTTCAATTAAAAAAAACTGATTCACCCAGACAACAATAATGAACCAATTGCAAGGTTTCTTAATTGAAAGAAAAAGAATTTCATTATCTGCTAGCCTTGAGAAATATAATAAAAAGGTAGGTCTGCAGGTACAACAAGTAATTAGGAAGGCAAATGGAATTTTGTCCTTCATTGCTAAAGGGATTGAAATTAAAAGCAGAGAGGTTATGTTGCAGCTGTACAAGGTGCTGGTGAGGCCACACCTGGAGTACCGTGTGCAGTTTTGGTCTCCTTGCTTGAGAAAGGATGTACTGGCACTGGAGGGGGTGCAAAGGAGGTTCACTAGGTTGATTCCGGAGTTGAGGGGGTTGGCTTATGAGGAGAGACTGAATAGATTGGGATTATATTCATTGGAATTCAGAAGATTGAGGGGGGATCTTATAGAAACATATAAAATTATGAAGGGAATAGATAAGATAGAAGTAGAGAGGATGTTTCCAATGGCAGGTGAAGCTAGGACAAGAGGGCATAGCCTCAAGATTAGAGGGAGCAGATTT